CCTTTTCATCATACTCTGAATAGGTGTTATGGGGGGGACTTAATTTCTACTTTCTGCCTTCCATTATTTAGGTAAGATTTAAACCATTGGGTGCCGGGTTTCGTATATTTCAAAAATTCGCAAATATCTCTATATATTACAATTTTTCGAGAATTTTCCAAATTGTCTATAAAATGTATGAATTACTCATTACTTAACAAGTGTTAGTATGCCATGTCTTTCTTATCTGTCTTAACTTCACCACGCTAATAATATAATGTGATTTTTTAAACGATAACACAATGTTAGGAATATTCCATAAATTACCAACTTCGGTAACCTATTTCTCTACTTACTCTACGCTTCATAAGAAGCCAACAGTCACTCAAGAAATTCCCAACATTTATGGAAGCCGTGTTTAACTACCAAGTTTGTCTTCTGCTTTTACAGCAAGCAAAATGCAACTGAAACAGTCATCGATTTTTGCCCTAAACAGACGTGATTTTTTAGGAAGCTAATTTTACAAAATGCAGCACACTCAAATTAATGATTTGCTTTAACTTTGTGACCCACATAAGACGTTCTATAGATCCTGATACTGAACACAGCTTTACGCCACAGGGAAATAAAGTAACGGATGCGCAGAGCAGCCTTACGAAAGCGGTTACTGCTTAATTACGTCACAACGCCGTTCCTTCGACTCACTTCCTACATCCATACTTTGTTGATTCCTCTCAGTAGTTCAGGGCTCTGTTTCCGCAGACTAAACTGATCTATTGTGTCGCGAAGCATTCTCTCTCTTAAACAAGTTCAAAGACACTTTGCATACTGTGTGAATACAAATTTTTCGTGCTTCCTGGTGCTTCGATGTATGAAAAATGAAGGTGAACAGGAAGTATAAGGGTGATGATATTATCTACGAGGACAGGGGTCGCTAACGGTGAATACCACCTTTCTCCAGGAAAACAAAATAAACTGACCAAAATAAATAACAAGGCTAACGAGATAAACAAAAGAAAGAAGGCATCTGAAAAACAAAAAAGAGTGTTGCATTGGAATACTCCTTTCGACTCTGAGTATCGATCACAATTTCCTGGTCTCGGCCTGTCACAGTGGATTACAACAACAAAAAAACACCCATAATTCATTCTTCGAGCGCGCATGCGCGTGTTGCGCTGTTCTGTCTGCTGTAACACCTAAAGCGATCAATTGTCCCGCCGCTGCAGTGCGCCATATTGTCCAGTAGCTAGGGACCCACTGGCGCGACTAGCCGCGTGCGGCGTGTCGAGTGTTGTCGCGCGCGGCTGTTATTTGTATTGCTTTTTATAGGTGCGAAACCCACTGACGCTGGCTATGCTATATAAACGAAAGTGGAAGAAAATCATCAACTTATGAGTAGTACAGATGACGTTTTAAAGCTGCTGCTAGGATTTAGGAAATTGGGTCACAAAAGGGATGAATATATAAATGAAAGATTGCAAGTTCAGAAGAATACGACTGAAAGAAATAGGTTACGTGATTAACAAGGGAAAACATATAGAATAATATTTGGAACGAAGTACTTGGAGGCTAGAGAAAGTTGCGTAATGAAGAGTTTGGCAAGTTGCACACCTTGCCAAATATTAGAATGATCAAGTCGAGGAGATGGGAAGGGCAGGTAACCCGTATGGGAGAGAAGAGGCATGTATATAGAGTTGTGGTGTGCAAACTAGAAGGAAACATACCACTAGGAAGACTTAGACGTAAATGGGAGGTTAATATTAAAATGGGTTTTTAGATAAATAGGATGTGGTGATATGGATTGCATTCATCTGGCTCAGAACAGAGACCAATGGCGGGCTTTTGCGAACACGGTGTTTCTATACGCTGGGCTCGTTCTCTCAAAAGTTTAAAACTATTATTCTGCGTTATAAATACAAGAATTTTACTGATTATTTTAATAAAAATATTGGTTTAACGTTAGAAATTAAAATAAAATCTACAACATAAAATAAGCCAATCTTATTATTTTTATTTATAAAAAAAAGTGTAAGTGTATGTTTTTACGAGCACAGAACTTTACAAAACAAAGTCCCTGCCACTGACGAAACAATAGCAGCAAATCGTCTAGAAGCTGTTGCATGACTTATGTAGCTTAATCTGTCTGTTGTTTGGGGAATTGCATCATGTTCCTGTAATAACCGCAAAATATGTACCGTTGTTTCGCGGAAGTACTTGGAATCACTGTAATGAGATCATTACTACGTTTTGGCCACTAACCTGCAGTCTGTAATCTCATGTAACTTACATAAATGACTCTGACGACTTAACCAAAGATGTCTGATGTTTTCTCTTATATTAGTTTACCGGTGTTTCAGAGGTGCTGCATCATCATTGCCCTGATGATGGAGGCAGCAAGCACTTCTGAAACGTCGGAAAATACCAGACTATACGCCGCAACAACCCAGAAGATCGCCATCTTAATTGTGATTTGTTGCCGTCTTTCCGAAATGTTTGTTGTTGTCGTCATTATCATCATCATCATCATCATCTGTCTTTACATTTTGATTCTATACTTGCATTATGGCTGCAGGGTATCAACATGCACTCAGTTCTTTTTGTTCTTTCTGCTAGACCAACCTACTCAGTTGCGACTGTTGAAATTCTCGTCTTTCCCCCGTGTTATTTATATTTCCGACCTACAAATGAACATATTTAAAACTGCCCAGAAACGGATGTGTAAACTACATATTGAATTGTGTAAAATTCTAAAGAACAGGCAGTATATAATTTATAGGTCTATATATACAGGATGATTCAAAAAGGACTTTACAACTTTGAAAGTGTATAGAAATTTATTCAGAAGGCTTACAGAATCGGTTGAGGTGTCATTTTGTAGCAAAATAAATCAGGTCTTACCCCCATAAGAAAAAATCGAGAGGTGTCAAATCTGGAGAACGAGGTGGCCATGATATCGACCCTGTTCAACCAATCCACCGACCTGGGAAACGGTTATTGGGGAAATCCCGGACTTCTGTGAGGTAGTGAGGTGGTACGCCGTCTTGCTGGAAGTGAATGCGTCCTTTTTGGTCATCTTCATCTAACTGTGGTATAAGAAAATTTTCGAGCCATTTTCAAATGCACTGCCGCTTGCGCTCGCGGTGACGGAATTTGGTACTACAGCACAACGTGAGTCAAACTTGATTTGTTTTGCTACAAAATGACACCTCAGCCGATTCTGCAAGCCTTCTGAATAAATTTCTATACACTTTCAAAGTTGTAAAGTCCTTTTTGAATCACCTGGTACAGTGTGTACAGTTTCGGGTTTCTTCAATGAAAAAATGAGCGTAGATCGGGAATATAGTAGGCCCTATAAAATTGATCTTGGATAAATAGACGTGAAGGTGTATACTGGATTCAACTGGCTTTGGATGAGGCCCATTAGCAGGCTTCATTGGCCACGATGATTAACATTTGGGTTCTGTAAAAGCAAGGAATGTCTCGAAAAGTGTGTAAGCAAGCAACAGATGAAGAAACATCCTGCATTGAGCAGCTACAGTGACTCAGTGACTGAAGAGAAACCCAACCTCATTCTAGAGCGTCATCAGACGCTCTTAATTACATGCAATCATTTCATAAGTTAATGCTACTTAAGTGTAAATATAACAAATTTCTCTTAGTTTGCAAATGTTTTTTTTTTGTAATCCAATCTTTGTAATAACCTGTTTTGAAGTACCACTTTTTAGTATCGTACTAAATAAGCGGTGTTTATTAATTATGCTTTCGTAAGAAACGCGTTAATAATATCTGTAGGCAAATAAATTCAGTGCAAAGTGCCGTTTCTGTTGATGCGATTAGTCGTATTTGGTAACCTTGGATTGAATACTAATGACCATAACTAAAAC